TCAACAACAGAAAAACCAATATGACACCACCAGAGTCTAGGGACTCTACAGGAGCAAGACCTCAACATCCCAAGACAGATGAAGCAGAAGAGAATGACCTTAAAAATAACTTCATGAAGATGATTAAGACCCTTAAAAAGGAAATGAGAAAATCCATTAAAGAAATGTAAGAAAACACAAACCAAAAATTGCAAGAAACAATTCAAACAGTGCAAGTTTGAAAGTTGAAATACAGACTGAAGGAATGCTGGAATTAGAAAAGGTGGGCAAACAATCAGGAACTACAGCTGCAAGCATAACCAACAGAATTCAAGAATTGGAAGAGGGAATTTCAGACACTGAAGATACAAAGAGAAAAAGATTCATCTACCAAAGAAAATATTAAATCCAACAAATCCCTAACACAAAATATCCAAGAAATATGAGACACCATGAAAAGACCAAACCTAAGAACAATAGGTATAGAAGAAGGTGAAGAAACCAACCTCAAAGGGACAGAAAACATATTCAAAAAAATCATAGAAGAAAACTTTCCCAACCTAAAGAAAGACATGCCAATGAAGGTACAAGAAGCTTACAGAACACCAAATAGAATGGATCACAAAAAAGTCCCCTCGCCACATAATAATCAAGACCCCAAACATACAGAATAACAAAAGACTATTAAGAGCAGCAAAGGAAAAAGGTCAAGTAACTTATGAAGGCAAACTTATCAGAATCACACCTGACTTCCCCATGGAAACTCTGAAAGCCAAAAGGACCTGGATATTCTACAAACACTAAGAGAACACAGATGCCAGCCCAGACTACTATACCCAGCAAAACTTTCAATCACTATAGACGGAGAAAACAAGATATTCCATGACAAAACCAGATTTAAACAATACATATCCACATAATCCAGCCCTACAGAAAGTACTGGAAGGAAAACTCCAACCTAAGGAAGTTAACTAACTATACTCACGAAAACATAGACAACAGGTAAGCCAACTTTACCAAAAGCCAACAGAAAAAGCAGTATAAATCCACAAACAATAACACCAACAACAACAAAAAACAAACAAGAATAAACAATCAATGGTCCTTAATTTCACTCAACATTGATGGTCTTAATTTGCATATAAAAAGACACAGAATAACAGAACGGATACGAAGACAGAATCCATTCTTCTGCTGCATACAAGAAATGAACCTCAACTTCAAAGACATTAACTCAGAGTAAAAGGTTGGGATAAGATTTTCCAATCAAATGGACCCAAGAAATAAGCTGCCTTAGCTATCCTAACAAATTAGACTTCAAACTAAAATTAATCAAAAGAGATGAAGAAGGTCATTTCATATTCATCACAGGAAAAATCCATCAGGAAGAAGTCTCAATTCTGAACATCTATGCCCCAAATACAAAGGCACCAACATTTGTAAAAGAAACATTACTAAAACTCAAATCACACATAAGACCTCACACAGTTATAGTGGGAGACTTCAACACCCCACTCTCATCACTTGACATGACTACCAGACAGAAACTTAACAAAGAAACAAAGGAATTAACAGAGGTTATGACGGATTGTATTTAACAGACATCTATAGAACATTCCATCCAAACATAACCTTCTTCTCAGCACCACATGGGACCTTCTGTAAAATCAACCATATACTTGTCAACACAGCAAACCTCAACAGGTAGAAAAAAATTGGAATAACACTCTGTATCTTATCAGAGCACCATGGTTTAAAGTTAGAATTCAACAGCGACACCAATTGCAGAAACCCTACAAACTCATGGAAATTGAATAACCCACAATTGCACCATTCCTGGGTCAAGGAAGAAATAAATAAATTAAAGGCTTCCTAGAATTCAATGAAAATGAAGACATAGCATACCCAAACTTATGGGACACTTTGAAAGCAGAATTAAGACGAAAGTTCATAGCACTAAGTGCTCACATGAAGAAACTGAAGAATTGTCACACTAGATACTTAACAACACAACTAAAAGCTCTAGAACAAAAAGAAGCAAACTCACCCTGGAGGAGTAGACACCAGGAAATAATCACACTGAGGGCTGAAATTTAAAAAGTGGAAACAAAGAAAACAATACAAAGAACCAAGGTAACAAACAGTTGGTTCTAGCGAGAAGTTTTATTAGAAAGGGGAAGAAAAGAGAAAAGAGGTAAAGAGACACAGAGAGAGTACAGAAGAGAAGAGGGAGCCAGGAAATGTCCTGTCTGCCCCAGGGGAACAGTGGGATTCCGTCTGTGCAGCACCCACCCTTGGATATCTTTGAGTTCTCACACTTACGGTGATGCAGACAGGTCTCTGGCTGGCAGGTTGCCTCACGTACAAAGCAAATGAAACAGCCAGGAAAACCCTGTGCCACACCACTGCATGTGCCAGACGCCTTCCAAGGGTCAAGAGGTCTGCCCTAGCCCCTTACCCTGGAAAGCAGAGAGAACTGAGTGCCACTCTCCTGTCAGGTACAGTCATGTGTCTGTGTGAGTGCACGTGTACATTCAGCACAGGCGTACATATGGACTTTCTCTATCCCACCAGCCAGCTCCCAAATAACAACACAGAGACTTCTTATTAATTGTGAAAGCTCAGCCTATAGCTTCAGGCTTCTTCCTAACTCTCTCTTACAGCTTAAATTAACCCATATTTTTATTGATCTATGGTCTACCACATAGCTTTCACCTCTATCCCATCTTGTACCTCGTGTTTCCTCTCCGTGACTGGCTGTACAGTCTGCCTCTCTTCTTCCCTGAGTCCTCTGTGTCCCCGGAAGTCCTTCCTAACCTCCTCCTAGCTATTGGCCATTCAGCTGTTTATTACACCAATCACAGCAGTCCATTTTCACACAGTGTACAAATGTCCCACCACATGTATGTACGGCTGTCTGTTGTGCATGTCACACGTCGATGTGCCCGTGTTCACTTGTTCTCATACCACACCCACAGATGGGTGCTTGAGGACACCGGAGTATGTGAAAAGCAGCTTGAACCTCATGAAATGCTAAGCCTTCATCCCCTGAGGCCTGCCTCAGTGTCACCTGACATTTGGGGGGTAGTCAGGATCGGTCACGGGCACTACAAGCCACAATTTCTTGCCCAGTGTTAGTTACTGCTTTTAACACTTGGTCTGCACAGTTGCACCTAGTAACTGGAAATACTTGATGAAAACAGGTACCCCTGTGGTGCCTGCTGACTCTACAGGGCTTATTTTAAAAGCACAATTGGAAGCCAGGGTCGTGACAAATCGGGTGGCATCTCATTAGCTATTGAGGACATCTGCCAGGGGCTTGTTTATGATGAACTATAGCTATGTATAAAAATGATAAAACAGGAGCTCACATGTGCAAATTCTGATGTGAAAAACAGCTGTCCTGGTGCTCTGGAGAAGTTCCAGAACCCCCGAGTGCAGCCCACCTTCCCCACCAAGACGATTCCCAGATATGCTTTTCCCATCCCATCTCTGCTGGGGTATCTTGCCTCTAGTTTTTCTCACATGATGTAGTACCGTTTGTTGTGTCTGTTTGTGACATTTCTATAAGCGAAATGATGGGGAAAACAGCAATTTGGTTTCATTATCTGACATCATTTTACATTACATGGGACACTGTCTGCATTCACTTGAGGACATCAAACTGTTCACATCTGCTCTTGGCTACCTGGGTGGTTACCAACTGCTCCCAGCACTGCTATGGAGGACATTGCTACCACGGACATCCTTTTCCACATTTTCTGAGCCATGTAAGCTTTTTCCAAGCAGTGAAGGCAGCAGGCTTAGGACAAGAGGTGAATTACCAAATCAGACATCTTTGCACTGGTTAAATTTGGTTAATGCTAGGATTTGTGGCAAAGACACACACCAGCATTCCCTACTCTTCTGGTGGGTGACATTGTTATTACTGTTACAGGATTGGGCTGCACAGAAAGGGACATAGGAAGCAGTGGGCTTCATCATGGAGGCATGGGAACAAATGCCGTGTCTTCTGGAGTAAACTCTGGAATGTCACTGGTAACGGTTTTTACATTTCTACTTGCAAGATGGTTAGCAGTTGTGATTTGGTGTCAGGGGATGCCATTCTGAGCCCATACCCAAAGGCTGCCCTGAGACAGAGCAGGACCCTGGGGTTCTAAATGGGAGGAATTGGTCCATCAAGGACAAACCCAGCCACATTCCTGATTCTGTGTAAGTTGCCGAGGGAAGATGTCCAGTTGGTGTCATTTCTCCTGCAGGAAGGTCTCCTTATTGTCAGCACTGGGAATGGAACGTGGGGTGCAGGAGACTGAGGCCAGGTAGTAGGAAGAATGCCCCAGCGGACAAAGTCAGTGGCCAGAGTGTGACAGAGATGAAAATTAGGAGCCAGTGTAGGCGAGAGAGGGGCTCGATCTTTCGTGGCACGTGGAAAAATTAGGTGACGTGTTTGACAGTAAGTAGATCCGAAAGCTCAACTGTGACAGCAGATGCATCTTGGTGCTGGCCAGATGCAAATGACATGCTGTTGAGTAGCCTTTCTTGCAAACCAGGCCCCAAACTGAGCATTATCCACCAGCCTTTTAATTTCTGGTCAGAAAGCTTGCACTTCCTGGATTGGACAGCAGAGGGTGGTACAGCACCGCCTGGGTCCACCATGAGTTTGGACATCAACAAGTGAGAATGGGGAAGTCACAAAAAGTATTGCCAAGTCCCACAAGAATGTGTGGTTCAGGTTCTGGGATGGTTCTCCTGCGCCCCTCTCCCTGGCAACAGGCTCCAATCAATCTTGGATCCTATCTGCAGCTATCAAGGGATACTGAATAGAAATTTTAAAATACGTAGGGAAATCTGTTTTGTGGCACAAAATCGCCAAATTTCTTACTTTTGTGACATGAAATCTGACCGCCTTTGAAATAAAAATCTGAAAGTTTCCATTCGCTTAGAATGGTCCTAAGTAGCGTGAAATGCAGCCCAACTCCATTTGTTTGTATGTAAAGTGTCCGCCAAGCCACACAATGGGATATGAAAAATAGATTTATTGGCCAGGAGTGTCGAGGCACAGGCAGAGCCTCAGGCCTTCCCCAGGCTTTTCTTGATGAAGTGGCCCACCAGCCGCTGGGGTCTCTGCTGGTACTCTACCAGCACGTCATGGGGGGTGGTGATCTGGTCTCCCTGCAGTCTGTCCAGAAGGGTGACACACACTACAGCCGCTGCGGAGAGAAAGGTCTCATCAAGGCAGGGTCAGAGGCCTCCCTTGGTCAACAAGGAGGAAGGCAGGGCCAGGGAGCTCAGTGTGCAGGCCAGGACAGGGGCTCTGTGGATGGAGTAGGGCAGCATGGAGGAAGGCACACCCTCCTGCAACTCCGGCAGTTCCCACTCTAACACACCCGGTCCCTTTCTGCCAAAGGAAATTCCAGCCTGTTCCAGGGCCCGCTCCTGGCTGTCCCAGACCATGGGGCATAGACAGCTCTGAGAGGCGGTGTTTGACTGGAAGGATGCTCAGGTCTACACAGTAAGGTGGATTAGCCCTTCAGAAAGGCAAACAGCACTGAAAGCCGAGCTCTTGGCAGGGCTGCGGCAGCTTTTCGTCTGAGCCTGATAGGCCACAACCGTCTTTGTCACCTTTCTCAGTAGTAGGGGAAATCCCTGCAAGAACACTGAGGACCCTGTGTTTTGCTGTGTGACAACCAACACCGCAGTGTCCCGGGGATGCAGGATAACACCTCGGTGGTCAAAAGCTGACCAAGGGGGACACAGGTGAGAAATGAACACGGAGGCGCTCTCCAGAGGCTCCCCTGCGATGGGCTTAGCAAATAAGACAGAGAAAGGACACCAAGGCCATCGTGTGCCTTCCTACCTCTCAGGCCACAGGCACTGCACATGGTGGCAAATAATGACGATTCCATCTCAATATTTCGGACACCTGCGGCATGGGCTGCTTGCAGATAGGCCTGTTTGTCCTTCTCTGTGTAGGAGCAGAGGGCACCATCCAGACGGCCTTGTCCTGCAGCGCACGAAGACAGGAGGGCCACAGGCACACAGTCAGAGCATACTACATTGGGCACCACGCCACACATGCCATCAAGACACGGGGATGAGGGGACCTGTCCGCCCGTCTTCAAGGGAGTGGATTGCTGCTCAGATCACTGTGACAGCCATCACAGAAATACTGCGACAGGGTTCGCAGGCCACATGCTGGTGCCCCAGAGACAGCAGCACACCATCACCGAGCAGGCTTGGGTGGGCAAGGGATCCAAACACGCGCCAATTCCTCTCACCCTCATAGAAGTCCAAGGTGCACATGGTGTTGCCCACAACCGTGGGGAACTCATTCAGGTCCGAGGAGCACTGCATCAGTTCCTGCACCAGCTGCGCGTCCAGGTTGGTGCTGCGAACCACCCGCTTTCCCAGGACAATCTGCTCAAACTCTGGCCTGAAGCACTCATCCACAGCCTGCTGGGTGATGACCACAGAGCCAGGCTCCAGACCTGAGGAAGATACAGGCATCACGGTTACACAGGGAGACAAAACAGCGCAGCAGAGAACGGCCCCACAGTCGCTTACGGAGGCGTCCCAGCGCATGCTCAAAGCCATCCATCCCTTTTCCCAGTTAGAGCTTTTCCTGACCGGGGATTTGAACAGAACCAGTGCTGAAAGCAATAAAAAGCCGAGAACAGCAGCCTCGCCAGGAGTCTCTCCATCCTTTACCAAACGTTTGTCTTCCAGGCTGGCACCAACTAGGTAGGTGACCAGGAAGATAGTTTAATCATCCCAGATATCTTTATTTTGTACATTTTCAACCAGTTACAAAAGCAGACAAAAGTACAGAAAAGCCACGTGTGCCTCAAACACAGCCTCAATCCTTTCCAACTCCTGACTAGCCTGCTTTCCTCTGCAACCAGCAACAACCATCTGTGCAGTGTGGGAGTTCAGGGTGTGCCCTCCTGGAGTAGCTGCATACTTCAAAGAACAAAACTCTATTACTCTTTTTCTGTCGGGTGTATATTTTCTTATACAATGTGACCACTATTAGGAGAGTTTGAAACTCTACCTTCCAAGGACAGTGAGTATGCTTAGACCCGGATGCCTGAATCTAAGGCTATACTGTCCCTGGAGCCCATACAAGCTTCCTATCAATGGTCTTGTGTTCCTGGTGGGAACAAGAATTGCTAGAAACCAGTTCCTACAGTGACTTTGGTTCCTTAGTGACAAAAAAGAAATTGCTTTAGAGACGCCAAGCAGTGGTATCCCATGCATTTAATCCCAGAACTCAAAGGCAGGAGGATCTCTGTGAATTCAAGGCCATCCTCGTCTACAACTCGAGTTCCAGGGCAGCCAGGGCTGTTAAACAGAGAAACCATATCTCAATAAACAAGACAAAGAAAGAAAGAAAGAAAGAAAGAAAGAAAGAAAGAAAGAAAGAAAGGAAGGAAGGAAGGAAGGAAGGAAGGAAGGAAGGAAGGAAGGAAGGAAGAAAGAAACTGAAATTGCTTTCGACCTTAATTGCTTCAGACTTTTACTTACGCTATGGTATGTTACTGCCCAACACACACACACACACACACACACACACACCTGACTGCCAAAACCCACACTAAATAAAATCCCCGCTGTGGAACAGGAAGGCTCTGGGCTGGGTGGGAGCTGTGCGAAGTGACTGACACTCTGCCCCAAAGGATGAACTAATTCATTCACTGAATTTAATGATGGATGAGTGGTCGAGGCTGGGGCACGACTCCCCCGCTCACATACATGATGAGCCCCTGTGCCGTGCCTAGGCACGGGCAGCAAGAAGGCTTCACTCAGCTATGGGCCACAGTCAGGAGCCCAAGCAGACCTTTTGTCTTTATAGCCGAAAACAGACCAGAGCACGTCAAGTCTTGGATGTTCTACAGTCTTCTCCAAAACCTCCTCTGTGCTACTTAGGCTGTCTGTGAATTCTTGTAGGTTTTTTTGTTGTTGTTTTTGGTTTTTTTTGTTTTTTTGTTTTTTTTGGTTAGCAGGTTGGTTTGGTTGTTTGGTTTTTAGCTTTTGGTTTCTTTGGGTTTTTTTTTTTTTAAGCTTTTGAGGTAATTTCTGGCCCCTTTTGTTAGTTTTGTATCCCATCCCCAATACACACTTCGATGAGAGGAGCAGACGGACAGAGAGGAAGGTCCTTGAACAATCCTGTGTATGTGTTCACGCCATGCTGGAGCCACTGCTGTTCTCTGGCCCCTCCCCCACCCACAGGGCCAGAATCAACCCTCAGTCCTCACCTATACCACCGGAAGTGCCGATGCGGATGACGGTGATGTTGGAACACCGGGCATGGTACAGCATCTTGATGAGCTCATGCAACATGATCCCAATGGAAGGGATGCCCATGCCATGCTGGAACCAGAGAGAAAGTGCTGCAGCTCAGCCCAGCCTTGTGCCTGTGTCAATGCCCACACAAGTCCCTCCAAACAGACAACACTCGGCATTTTAAGTCACCCAGAGATAACAAAGCTTCGCACGGAACAAGACTGTGAGAGAACACTCTTCTAACTTCCATTGTATTATACAGCTATAATTACTCGACTCTGGGAGCCTTCATTGCCATTCTTTTGCTACACCTAGTCCGCGAGTAAAGTGCGTCACAGTCTTGTGCATTCATCAGTTTTGGTTCTCTTCTGCTTGGAGACCTCCACAGGGGTCCTCGGGACAAAGCCCGGGTGGGAAAGGAGATTACTGTATGTTTTATGTGGTATATTTCAACCGATAAGATCATCATGGGGCAATGACGGACAGACTTCAAAACATTAGCAGAGCTGTCCTATGGCCTACCTACCTTGACCCACACAACCTGCACAGCGGGAGGAGGGAGCTGCTATTGCTAGGTAACAAGCATTTCTTTCTGATAGCTGAAGCCATGCACAAGGTCCCTTATCCATGCCAGATAAGGTTTTACCACTGCACTTCTCTCCTGCCCTCTCCAGTTTCGCAAAGCAAGATAACTGGCTGGTTCCTCAATCCCGGACAGAGACAATCTCCGCACTTCCGCCTCCTCCGCCGTCTTCTCTTTGCCTCCACCACAATGCAGCCCTTCTCCGCACATCTTTCAAAGACCCTCCCACAGTCAGATCTCCTAAGACACCTCCTCTCCCCTCCAGGGGGAGGTGCTGCCCCTATGGCAGAGTCCTGCGGCAAAGGGACCCCTTTCAGAATGTCAAACACAGGGAAATGACAAGGTGACTTTGCTATCAGGTGATTCTACAAGACTGATACGCTTGGAGGTCTAGCTGATACGCCCAGACACACATCTCAGCAGGACGGGGACCCTCTGCTGAGCTGTAGTTCTTCACTATATTACTGCCATCAAAGGAAATCAATTGATAGAAAATGATCTCTTTAGTAGGATACTGGAGATTTCTGTAATTATTTTTATTGCTTACAACCTGTGTTATAAAACAGGTTAGTCACTGTGAGTTAGGAGAGGCATGGAGACCGGGCATGTGGCTCTTCTTGTAGCCCTGGGCCAGGCAGGGAAGCCCTCCCCCACACCTGCCACCCCCACAGAGTGGACAGCTGTGCATATTTACACGTGCATCTGCTTTTGTATACAGAGGCTCTCCAGGAAGCCAAGCCTCAAGGGCTGGAGCCTAGGACTTACTCACGCCCAGATGCCAGCTGCCGAGACTTCACCATGCTCCCAGCCATTTACAGTACACAAATGTTAAGGCACCAGCTGTTCAGCTGTTCACCCAGGCAGAAGTGTGGGGCACAGGGCTTTGCAGGGCACGGAAACCAAACCCAAGTGAAAGGCAAGTACTCACGCTCACAGACAGCACAGGTCCGACTTTATACATGGCATAGCGGTCAGTGCCTGCACAGATGTTGGGATATTCTTTCCCTGGATGGTCAAGGCCCAGCTCAGCCGCCACATACCTGATGAAGGCACTCATCCGGGAAGGGCTTCCACCAACACACACGAACTGAAATAAGAGAGTGGGGACCTCATCAATGCGCTTGTCATTAGAGGTCTTCGAGTTGACTGGCAGCACTGTGGTCTTCTGAGAATTTTCTAGCAAGTTTTCAAGCCTGACTTGCACCGAGTGTATCTAAGGTGGTGATCCTGGGGAGTTTTTAGCAGCACCCAGAGCAGTCAGCTCCACACGTGCAGAGACCCAGGCTCTTGCTATCTTTGGAAAAATCAACAGCAGGCATCACACTTGGCCTTACACACCAGGTGGAAGGTAGTCTGGGGTGCTGGAAGGGAGTTTGGGATTGGATTGACCAGAGTCCTATAACTCAGTGCTAAAGAGGGCCACCAATCACTCTCTCACTTGGCCACTTGAGTGGCAAAGAATAGTGGCCCAGTAGCGGGCTGGGAATTTATAGGAAGAGAAGTAAAACCTGCACTTTGTCAAGTGTCATCTAAGAGGACATTTTATTTTGCCAAAAAATAGTAAATAGTGAAAAAGTGATTTAATGGAATCTGAAGACAAAGGGAATAAATGCATCTCTAAACATGAAAGGACATTTCCATGGCCTGCAACAAAAAATAGATTAGCGACATTGGGATAAATGGAAATTCAATAAATTAAGAAAACAAAAAAGCTGCCCACTGTTTGCTACCAAAGGTGAGTTCTACCCATAGCAGATGGGGCCCAGCTTTGGTGTTCTGAGCCCATCTTCGTTTTTCATTCATCTTTATGGAGACTAGACATTGAAGAGTCCTGTTTTAGGCCTATGGTAACTACAGCTATTGAAGAGCCCAGTTTTGGTCGTATGGTGACTACAGTTAATACAACTAACAGTAAACCAACAGATAGCTAGTAGATAGAATTCTGAATGTTATGAGCCCAAAGAACGATCGTTGCCTGAGTTGTGAGGGAGCTGACCATTGTTTTGTCACTTCATATCGCATACAGGAACTGAAGTGTCACACTCTTCCTTGAAAGGATGCAAACATACTTAGGTATCCATTAGAAACAAGTTTTAACAAGGGATTTTACAAAAATTTAGCACTGAGAACTGAACACTTACTGGAGGTGTCTTCAACAGTATCATCTATATACACATTCAACAAGCAGAGGTCATACAGGCTTTCCGTACTGACACTGCACCTCTTAGAAGTCCTTCCCTGCTTTCTACATTGTCTAGGCTGCCCCCAAGCTCCCAATGAGGTGATTCTCCTGCCTCAGTCTTTGGAGTACTGGAACTACAGACATAGGCTACCTTGTATGGCTCAGAAGTTTCTCATGCTGTTCATTCTCATATGAAAGTTCTAAGAGATGAAGTAGAGGCCAACATAGAGGTAGTTAACATTTGTTCTCTCTTTTACTTGCTAATTCCTATAAATGAAAGGTAACAATTTGCAAAAGTCTGATAAAGATAAAATGTAGTCTTGTCCCCTGTCAATCATCTGCACATAGGTTCAGCTATACCCAAGAGGAAGTTGACAGCCCATAGAATCAAAGCCTGGGCGTTTTACCTTCACATCTCCAAACATAGCAGGGAAATCATGTGTGCTAGTGCTGAGGTTGAAATGGTAGAGGACATCTTCCTTCATTGTTGCTATGTTTGGATTTGAAACTTGAACGAAGCAGTCACTGTTAGAAACAAAAAGGGAAAGGTTTATAGAACATGGGTATGCAATGTCCAGCATTAATACAAATATGTTCCAGATCCATGAGGTGTGTGAGGGACAGGAAGGGGAAGAGACAAGTGGATCATGGGGAGAAGATAACCCCACATTGCCAAGGTCCCTGCTTCCCTCTCTCCTCCCTTGTAATTCCTCTTTGCTCCTAGAGCCCTGTTTGGAGGCAATCGTCAAAACCTCAGAAGAGCCCACAAAATGATAAAGATCAGATTGATAAACCATCCAACACAAAGAATGCTAGCTTGTATCCAAGTCACCTATATTCAATACATAAACCTGACTGATTTGAAAGTAGTATGATCACTATTGGAAATACAGACAAATAGGGGAAAAAAGCCTCCTCCATTGCAGACAAAACCTTTCCAGTCTGAGCACCTATAATCGCTGCTTCATGTTTTTTTGCATGAGCTACCACTTCTCAGAACTGTGACACTAAGAGTGTCGTGAGGAGATGAAAAGATGGCCCAGCAGTTCAGAGCACTTGTTCTTGCGGAAGAACCAGTTCCAGAGAATCCACTGCCCTCCTCTGGCCTCCACAGTCACATCCATGCCTGCCGGCCAAACACACAAAGTAAACCTTCATCCTTTTTCTTAAAAAGATTGTCACGATATCACTTCCTACCATTTTGAATTTTTGTGGGCCACTCCAACATTTTGTATGTGATTCAAATTACTTTTACAGAGTAACATGCTTCTGCTCTAAAGGAAGGTTGGCAGACTTTGTTTCAGAGAAGGCCAGATGGTAAATATGGCTATGGGACACGATGCTTCTGTCAAAAGTCTGCCACCGTCTCCTGAAATCAATGGAGACAAGGAGGGCAAACACATGATGTTTTACTCCAGTGAAGTTTGATTTGCAAACACCCCATCTTGACCCTGGCTAAGCTTCCTCAGAGCCAGCCTTCAGCACAGCTGCCTCCACAGTATGCCTCCTGGTTCCCAAACAGGTGTCTCCTTGGCAGGATGAAGGCCAGGGCAGGGCCTTGAATATGGAGTGATTATGACTACCGTTCCTTCCCTTTGAGTCTGACTTTCTGCCCAGAACCAACCAGTGACACTTTCTCTTCAATCTAAGTCGTGAGAAAAATAGGAGATCACTGCAATATAGAAATACTGAGTCTCTTGGCCTACAGTGACCTGAAAATGGTGGTGTTGAGTTGAGCATGGACTTTTCCCTGAGAACTGTGCTGCCAAGCTGATGAGAGTTCCTTGTATTAAGTAAAGGCCATGATGGATTTGTGGGGATGGAACCCTGTTGTAAGCCAAGCCACCTCACAAAGGGCTGTTCCCCTCCTTCCAGAGCAAGCTCGCCTGTTCTGTTCACTAATTTGCTTTCTTTTTTGGAGAATGGACTTCACTGTATCCCAGATTGGCCTCAACTTGCTACGTAGCTTTGAACTTCTGATCGTCCTGCCCCTCCCTCCTCAGTGCTGATTTATAGGTGCATGCCACCATGCCGTCTTACGTAATGCTGGTGATGGAGGCCCCGGTGTGTGAGGCGAGCAAGCCACTCCCTCAGCTCCTATTTCTTTTTTCTTTAGACAGGTTTCATTTTTCAGCCAAAATAGCCTTGAACTCAATACACCTGCCTTGGCCTCCTGAGTGCTGGGATTACCGGCATATGCAATGACTCTGGCTATCTACATTGTGTCTTTAGAAAAAATTATATAATCAATCTAATTATAATTATCAAAATTTCCTGGAGGTTATGCTATGTCTTGTTTATTTACCACACACACACACAGAGTTGCACAAAGTTGAAAGTTAGATAGATCTGTTCTGATTGATTAATTTCATCTAGTCCCCACTGCTTTTCTTTCTGGTGCTCAGCCTCAAGGACAGACACCGAGACTGACTCCCTCTTCTCCCTTGGCCCTCTCTGCCCACTTCTACATTTCTCAAGCCCCCCTCCAGCCTATTCCCCTAGGGTGGTGTCCAGATCAAGTTAACACATGAAACTTCTAAGACTGGTTGCTATACAAATGATAAGCATAGCTTAAGACTCAGGAGAAAGTCAGAGTTCTCTCATAAAGGGAGTAGGAGGTGTGGGTAGACCACTCCAGGAACAACGATAGAGATTCACAGCACACGCGCACACACACACACACACACACACATACACACACACCAGTCATACATGCAGGGACCACTGCTCACCATGCCCCGGGCTCCCGGGCTATGAACCTTGCTTAGAAAGAGCAAGTAACCTGATCAAAGCACAGAGTGTGCCCACCTACTGACCCCATTCTCCTGGCAGATATCCTGGCTCTTTTTGAGGGGGAGGAAGCCCTTTCTCATGGGACCAAATGCAGGGCATGTGCAGTTAGACTTTCCCAGAAATCATTTTTGATCTCTAGGACAATCTGAAATTCCAACCAGCACAACACACTTTCAGGCATCTAACCATATCCTCCCTCAGGATGTGGTAGATACAGAACACAAAACAGGACAACCTTATGCTTCAAAATGACTCAACGGGACGTGATTAGGACAACGCAGCCACACAGAGAAAACTTTTTTTTTTCCTTTTTACTTGTCAGTTCCAGGAAGAGCAGAAGGAAGGAGCATAACCCTGAGAAGAGCATGATTTTAAAACTCATTCACTCTGACATGAACGTGAGCTATAAAAACAGTCTCCAACACACTGGTCAAAGGATTCAAAGTCACAAGTTGGGGACAAAAATATTTAGTCTACCTGGATCTCAATTGTATTCATTAAGCTTCCTTGTCACCCTGTTCATTTACCAAATGTTCATGGGGGGCCAACTGCTGGGGCCACACTGCAGCAGGCTGGGAGCTACGTCCTAGAGCCCCAGCAGACACTTCCTACAGCAGGCTCAAACCCCTGGGCGGGATGTGCCCGAACACATCCACACACACTGGAGTCAGCAAAGGACACAGGTGTTAGGCTCTTTAACAAAGCCTGAACAAGCACACACTTGAATTATGAAAAACTTACAAAGCAGGGAGAAAAGAAAGCATTCAAGATTCAGAAACATGACTGACTGATCCAGGAGATACACGGGTGGATTGTCTCAGAAAAAAAAGGCACGTACAGAAGGAAGCCTGAAAGACTCATATCTGAGGGACCTGCCCCCTCTTCTGAACCCACATGTGCTGACGGCTAAGGACCTGAATATTTACAAGCCCTCTGAAGCCCTCACCCCTCCCTCAGTGCTGTTAGCATCACATGCTAACACATGAAAAGAACTTTGAAAAATAAGCTTAGTAGAACTAACAGAGCCCAGTCTGGGCCGGTCTTACTTGTGATGGTTTTCGAGGTCCTTTGCTTCAGTTCCTGTAGCTGCCATCCTCACTGTAGCAGGACCTAAGGGGGGAAAACATCATACAAAACAGAATTAGCCCAAAGGGAACTAGGGTGGTGTGAGATACCAGTCATGTGGGAAGTCTGTGCAAAGAGGCAGAATTCTTCATATTTACATCCTATTCGCTATGGAAACTTACAGTGCATACGTGTGTGTGTGTGTGTGTGTGTGTGTGTGTGTGTGTGTGTGTGTGTGTGTGAAGTCCACATGGGTAGACCTCACACTTGTGCATTTTAGAATTGAAGTTCAAGTTTCCTAGTATCCCATCCCAGCAGCAGTCAGAATGTCTTTGACCCTACCCACACCCTTCCCCCTCGCCCTTCTGGAAGTCGTGAACATCCTCTTCCTGTGTAATGGAAGCAGAGGTTGCGGGGATTTGAACAGAGGTGGAGCAGCTGCTAGCTCCAGAGGACGCTGTTGAGAGGCCAAGGACTTGAAGCTGGGGTGGGCAGAGCATCAGGACGAGCCCTGGGTCACAGGCCACTCAGCAAAACTGCAGGCTGCATGGAGACATTTCCTAAAGCTGGGCTGAAAGACCCTTTTGCTGGAAAATGTATTTATAACTCCTATCCAAACACACTGCTCATTTGCAGTATAGTTTGCAAACCATTATAGTAGTTGGTTCCAGGGCAAAAACTCCCCTGTAGTTGGTGCTTGTCCCTCTTCATCTGGCTTCTTCTCACTTGGCACCAGTGACACACTTGCCCGGAAATGCCAGCTTGCTGCTGTCCAACCAAGGGAGCCAACGACGGAGTGAGCTGTGTTGTTTTTGTTGCGGTGATATTGAGGGTGAAACCCAGGCAGTTGGTACACTGAGAAGCATTGCAGGCTCCCTTACCCTGTGACACCAGCATTCCCAAGTCAAGCACAGCACAGGAAAAGAGCACTTAGGACTGGCAGGAGAGGGAACAGGACAGCTTTGCCTGGCAGTGTTGCAGGAAGCACAGAGCTGGTGGGTAGTGACAGAAGTGGTCCCTATGCAGTCCCTCAGGGCTGGCTGGATACTGGTCATAATGAGGCTTTCAAAACCTTTTTGACATTTACATTATTTTATTTTATTGGAGAGGGGCATGGGCACGCTGCGTTGTGTATGTGGCTGTCAGTCAGTGATCTTCCATGGTGTGTTTTGGAGATCAATCTTCAGGTTCAGACTCAGCAGCAACAGTGCTTACCCACTGAGCCATCCTGCTGACACCACCTATTACTTTAACGGCACAGGACACTCTGAAGTCTGCCTGGGTAAAATGATTGTAAGAGTGAAATACCCCAGGAGGCACAACAAACAGCATTGCCTCAGTTGAGGAATGTGAAACTCTGCAAATCGATGCGGTCAGCAGTTGGCACCTGGTCCCTTGCTCAGAGTCCGCAGGATTCGGGATGTGCCTGGTGTAAAAGTATCTCTGGTGTGATGGTTTGAATGAAAAAAGTCCCCTTTAGTCTCAAGCATTTGAAACCTTGATCCCTAACTTGTGGTGCTGTTGGAGGTAGCTTAGGTGCTAAGGCCCTGCCAAGATGTATATCACCACAGGCGGATTTTGAGAACCAAAGCCTCCTGCCCTGCTCTCTCTGCCTCATGTTTGCAGTTAAAGATGCAAACTGGGTTTCCTACCTATGTCTCTACAAAGGTTGTTTGCTGCCCTGTGCTCCCACCATGGTGGTCTTGACGCCTCTGGAGCTGTAAGCTCAGATAAACTCTGGTATAAGTTATCTGGGTAAAGGTGTTTTTATCACAGCAATATACCGGGTAACAAATACTGGGGGAACTCAGAGAACAAGGTGGATTGAGCATTCATACAACAAGGACATCTGTTCCACTATGTTCATAGCAGCATTATATGTAATAGCCAGAACAATTTAAGCTGGAGAGGATGTGGTGAAAGGGGAACACTCCTCCATTGCTGGTGGGAGTGCCAACTTGTTCAGCCACTTTGGAAATCAGTATGGAGATTCCTCAGAAAAATGGGAATAAACCTACCACAAGACCCAGCAACTCCACTCTTAGGCATATATCCAAAAGTTGCCCATTCACACAACAAGGATGTCTGTTCCACTATGTTCATAGCAGCATTATTTGTAATAGCCAGAACTTGGAAGCAACCTAGATGCCCCTCAACCAAAGAGTGGATAGAGAAAATTTACACAATGGAGTACTATTCAGCAGAAAAAAACAATGGAATCTTGAAATTTGCAGGCAAATGGATGGCACTAGAAGAAAACATCCTGAGTGACGTAACCCAGTCACAAAAAAGAGAAACATGGCATGCGCTCTCTCATATATGGATTTTAGACATAGATCTGGGGAGTCCCAGCCTACAATCCCATGGCCAGAGAGTCTGGGAAACAGAACCTTCATTCAGTGGCTGATGGAAGCAGAGGCAGACTCCCACAGCTAAGCACTGAGCTGAACTCAAGAAATCCAGTGACGACCAAAGGGATTAAGACTGGACTGGTTTAACCACCAGAAACAGCTGACCTGACAAGGGTTAGCCCTTGAATCCAAGACTGATGGCTGGGAATCCAGCATGGGACTGATCAAGACCCCCTGAATGTGGGTGTCAGTGAGGAGGCCTAGGTAATCTATTGAGCCTTGGGTAGTAGATCAGTATTTATCCCGGGTATACAAATGGACTTTGGGCTCCCATCCAACAATGAGAGATGCACTCTCATCCTGGACTCTTACTGGAGGGTCTAGGCCCTGCCCTGGATGAAATGACAGACTATGGACACCCCCATGGAGGGCCTCATCCTCCCTGGGGAAATGAGGGGATATTGGAGGGGTTGGTGGGAGAGCACGGGAGGAGGGGAGGGAAAGAGAGAGAGGGACCTGGAATTGACATGTGAAGCAACCTTGTTTCTAATTTAAATTTAATTTTAAAAATTAAAAAAATAAAATAAAGAAGTTGGGTAGACACAAGCCTGTGGGGTTTTTTTGAAATACAGTCTTACCTTTTGGCATATTAATAAACATGCAAACCCTTTCTCCTGTTTAATTTCTGATTTTGTGAGTGAACCATGAGGAGGCATAAGGCTAATTTCCCTTTCCTCTAGAGCATGCATGGCTGGGAAGGGATGAAGACCCAGGACATTGTAAGTCTGCATGTAGGGTGTGAGACACACCAAGCAAGCAAGGAGATGAACCCAGGGTAGACAAGAAAGGGAGCCAAGGAATGTTAAGAACACAACCAGCAGCCAATCTCTTTGAGGGAGGGAGTATTAACAAATACAGGTACTGGAAGGTAAAACCAGAGGATAATGATGGGTTCTGAATGGTCCCATATAAATCAGCCTAGGTAGTGTGAATGAAATATGCAGGGACAGTGAGGGGACCCACAGGCCAATCAGCTTTGGGCCCTTAACCTGTTACTACCTGCATTTACATCATAGTGGCCAAAATCCCTGTCTTAGGAGGAAGCGTTTATTAGCCGGTTAGCCCATGCATTCAGGAAGCAATGGGTAGCAGAGCACAGATGTTCTAAAGTAGAGCCAAGAAGCCAAGAAGCACTGCAGCTTTTCCCCTTGTGTGACTTCTGAGTTCCAAGTCAGTGCTTTGGTGCCACCCACGTCCAAGACCACATTCAAGGTGGTCTTGCCCTCAGGGATCCTCAGGTATCACCCTGGCTCGCCAACACATGTACGTGTTCACATGTAAACGTGTTCAGTGCCTCCCCAGTCTCCCAGACAATTTGCAAAACAGCCTGCAATGAAGACTACCCATTAATCACCCTGCAGAAATCGTGCCAACAACAGCTTTGCTGAAAAGTACCAGTTAGGCCATGTGGTCAGAAGAATTTACAGAAGAGGGGACACTTACAACCAAGTCAAGAGGGTGGGGTCCAAAACGACTGCTAATGACAGAGGGTGAGGTGTTGTCACTCAGGGAAAACCCATAAAATGCCCTCAGGAAGTCTCTAGAATCACTCAGGTGTCAGACAACTTGTGAACACAAAATCACAGCACTTGTTCTAAATTAAACCAAAATTTGTTAGTCCTCCCACCCCAGAATGTGAGGAGGGCGTCACACAGACAAGCAAAATGTCATTAGCCTCCCTCTAGCTTGCTAGAGATCAGTGGCACATCGTCTGTGACAACAGTTGCCCAGTTTACTTTGGAAACACACAAAGCCCACTAACACTCTAAACACATTTCAGGGTACAGCTTGGCATCAGTCTGTTTTTGTGTCTGTCCCTTCAGCTGTCTAAACTCTAGGATCAAATTCTTCCCAGATTGGCATGAGGACACATTTTTTTTTTTTTTTTTTTTGGTTTTTTGAGACAGGGTTTCTCTGTCGCTTTGGAGGCTGTCCTGGAACTCACTTTGTAGACTAGGCTGGCCTCAAACTCACAGAGATCCACCTGCCTCTGCCTCCCAAGTGCTGGGATTAAAGGCGTGCGCCACCAACGCCTGGCCCCATGAGGACACATTTGAGGAGGGTTTTCATCCCGGGACTTAACACACAGTTCCCTAGGCCTGTTGCTGGCTGGAGCAATGTACCCCAGGCTGTGCTTTATAGGTAGCTGTACCCACAGACTTAGAGAGGCCTAGAGAGAATGACAGGGGCGGGACATATATATGCAAGACAGTAACTCAGCATTTCCTGGATTATCTTACCACTCATTACCCTCAAACCTCAAAGCAAGATGCCTGAGCAGGAAGAAACATCTTTTGAAACCACACCCATGATCAAGAGACAATTAACAAACTCCAGCCCAGCAGAGCAGGATTACTGACAGCTGATTCCATTGGGCTCAGAAGGCAGCAGGCTCACCCCTGTCTGTGCTTGGGCCGGAGCTGAAGCCAGGCAGCTAGGGCTCGCTCAGATCTTTCTTATTTGTTCCTAGTCTGTCCCACCATCCCCACCATTCAAGAAAGGACTCTTGAAACAAGAAACACAAGCCCATGAGACCATACGGAAGGCATCCTCTACTACAGAAACAGAACGCCAACAGCTTAGGAACACAAGAAGCAACCAAGAAACAGACAAGAGGTGATCCGCAGACAGTTGTATCCCCTCAAGAGCATGGAGGTATCAAGGAGAAGTGTCCACAGCACATTGTAACCAGAAATGACAGACATATATGAAGAGTACAGCCCGGCAGTTTCTTTGATTTGGAAACTTCTCCTGAAGACCCACCTGTTAAGGCTTGCTCACCAGCTGTGGCACTATTGAAAGACCGTAGAAATTTGAGAAGGAAGGGTCTTGTAGGAGAAAGCTAGGCCATGAGGGATACTGGAACCCCTCAGCCTCCCCCACACCATGTTTCCTGGCCCCCATGACTCAGAACAGGCTCCTACACTATGTATCCCCACCAACATGAACTATACTACCCTAGACCGAGAGCAACACAGGACCCAATGACCACGGACAAAAAACTTCTACAACAGCAAGCCAAAATAAACCTTTTATCAACTTTAACTGTATTTATCTTGGGATTTTTTAATAGTGACAGAAAGCTGACTTACACAGTGACATAAAAATGTTGAACTGAAGACATCTGAGTTTCTGAAACCCCTTCTGCTTAAAGCAAAAGGTCGCCCAAACAACTCAACTATCCAAAGAGCCGGTAATCTGTTCTTCTAGTAAATCCATGCTGTACCCAGCCACTGTCACCAAACTAGCATATTCCCCATCTGCTTTTCGGAAGTCCCGGAGCAGGGCGGGATAGAATATATCTGTCATCCCAGCACTCGGGAGGCTGAGGCAGGAAGATTGCTCACATCTGGGGGCATTTAGAGCCCAGAATGAATTCAAGGTCAACCAGGACTACAACAAAAACAGAACAGCAAAAACAACAAACTCACTAATACCAGGCCCAAAATGTAACAGCTGAAATACATTGTTTCTCCAAAAGCACCTTTGTCTCGCCTGCTCAGAAGTCACGTGTGCTCCTGTTGCCTGGCCCCTCCCATCTCTGTTAAGATTGCAGTAAGCCCCAAATTCTAGCCACTTTCTGAACTCCTCCATTATCTGCACGAGCAGTAATCCGTCAGTCTGTCTTTTGACGTCTAATTTGCAAGTGTTGGGTGGCTGGTATACACAAGTTCTTTCTGACACTTCACCCCAACATGGATTTGAGGGCAAAGAGCAACAACAGGGATGGCAAAATGTCAGTCAAGGGATGGCGACTTCAGCAGGGGCAGTGATGACATCCTAAAGGCTGACTTCCAGCTAAGACAGTGTTGTTTCCCGTGTGTGGAGCTTGTGACAGCTCATTTGTTGAAGTAGCATGACTCAGGAACACTGAACCTGTAGGTGTGACCCTACAGGGAACCATGAGCCAGAAAAGTTGGCATTGAGAAACATGACGTCCAGAGGCCCGAACACACCCAAGAGAACTTTCTTAACTCAGGTTGTCTGACACAAAAAGCCTCTAGAATTTTCACTAACTCTTCAAGAATGGGCTCAAAGCCCAAAACACAGGGCACAGCTCCTTTCAAAAAAAAAACATTTTCGGTTGACATTTAAGGAACACAAAAGGAAACCTTGTCTCTTGCCACTTTGTCAACAGTCTGCTTGTCTCTCTCTTCCTATGCCTCCTCCCCATTGAGTCAGATTTGAGCTTAGACCTCTGGGACCTCCTGCCAGAGCATTAGCTACTTTGCACATTGGGTAACCCTTGCTCCACAACAAGCAACAGGATAGGTGGGAGTTGGGATCCACAAATGGCAGGAATCAGCAATTAGGAAAAGCCCAGGATGAAGACCAAGGTCATTATCCAAGGGAGAGAGGCTGGTCACAGCAAAGTCCACTATGAACTGGAGAGATGGTCCAGGTTAAGAATGCTTCCTAAAGCCAGGCATGGTGGCACACACCTTTAATTCTAGCAGTTTGGAAGCAGAAGCAGAGGAAGAGGGACTCTCTGAGTTCCAGGCCAGCCTGGTCTACAAAGCACATTCCAGGACAGCCAGGGCTGTTACACAGAAAAACCCTGTCTCGAAAAACAAAACATAAAACACAAAGAAAAGAAAAGAAAAGAAAAGAAAAGAAAAGAAAAGAAGGAAGGAAGGAAAGAAGGAAGAAAAAAGTTTCTATGATTCTGGAGGACCCGGGTTTAATTCCTAGCACTGATGTCAGACAACTCATAACTCCTTATAACTCTGGTTCCAGAGAATCTGATGTCTTCTTCAGGTTTCTGCGTGTGCACGTGTACACACACACCACATCCACAATGTGTATAAATAAGTAAGAATAGAATATTTTGAAAAGGTGGTTTAAGATAAAGCAGCAGGGTGCGGGAGGAGGGGAGGGAGAGGGAACTGGGATTGACATGTAAAACAAGCTATTTAAAATTAAAATAAAAAAATAAAAAATAAAAAAAGATAAAGCAGCAGCACTTGGACACTGAGTGAGGTCTGCTAAAACACAGAGTTGTTCTGAGAACAGGCCATTCCTCCAAAGCCCGACTAGCTCCTCTACTTGTGCATTTTGACCTCAGCACTTCCTCCCAATACTCACACCCCAGCTTCATCACAAAGGGAGGCACTCACCCAGCCTCCTCAAGACACCTGCAGCTGCCCCCAGCCCAGGGCTGCAGTCCACACTGCCAGGACCTGTCCCCAGCCCAGGGCTGTAGTCCATGCAGCCAGGACCTGCTGGTTTAGCGTGCCCTGAGGGACAGCACAGAACACTAAGAAGTAACCCTTCTCCTCTATGCACATCCTGGTTCCTTTACCTGCTAACAAACGAACTCATTAATGAGATTTTATATTTTAGCTTTACTGGTGATCTTTAAGATACCAAAGCTAAAGAAACAGACTATTTAGTTCAGGGTATTTTTGGAATGAAATGTATATTAAAAATCAATCTGTGTGTGTATTAGTGTAAGATGGAGAGAAGGGGAGGGGAGAGAGACTAGAAAGAAACAATTCAGTGCTTATCTGTAAGGAGAAAGAAAACCTGGAAATTAGGCTGGGCGTTGGTGGCGCACGCCTTTAATCCCAGCACTTGGGAGGCAGAGGCAGGTGGATCTCTGTGAGTTCAAGGCCAGCCTGGTCTACAGAGTTAGTTTCAGGACAGCCTCCAAAACAATACAGAGAAATCCTGTCTCAGAGAAAGAAAGAAAGAAAGAAAGAAAGAAAGAAAGAAAGAAAGAAAGAAAGAAAGAAAGAAAGAAAGAAAGAAAGGAAAGAAAACCGGAAATTTCTCTTCCTGTTATGGATATGATTTTTTTTTGCTTTAAGATGTTTGTAGTCTGTCAGAAAAAAAAGACCATTTTGACAGAAAGCCAAGGTAAAGAAAAACTAACAAATGCTTAAGAGTGCTGAAAGTATAACAGAACCAAGGATATAATGTGTGCCCCAGACTCGCATGCTGAATTAAAGATTTGTGCAGTAATGCGGGTTATGCCAAGACTAGAAGGTCCACTTGGCCTCTGAAGAAGGGAAAAAACAATAGCCAATTGGCTGAGAGGTGGGGGGTGGGTTAGCCCAAAATGCAGATGGGGCAAACTTCACAAGCTGAAAGAAACTGCAACCATGGCAAGCCCCGGAATGGCAAAGACAGCCTAAAACTCCATTCAAGGAAGTCACCATGTTTTTTAAAGGACTAGGTTACAGCGCATGAATGGAACCAATGTGTTTTTGTTTTTCAAGCCCAGACAGCACCAGCAAGGGAGACCTAGGAACTTAACGCAAGGAGAAGGGAAGGACAGAAACGGGATAGAAGAGGGAGGAGGAGAGAAAAGTGGGAGGGGATAATAACAGTATTAACAGACGTCTGATAACCCCTTCCTTTGCCTTCAAGGGAGGCACGCCTTTCTACCCCAGATTCAGTGTTCCTGGGTAACTCACTGTCAAGAGACTGGTGGTCCACGTCCAGGGAAGGCTGCCAAAGCGTCCGAGACCACCCCAGTCACCGCTGAGTCACTCCACCGAGCCCTGGAGGGAGAGAGACGTGTCGGTGAGCAGGACTGCGGAGTTCTGGGCTCACCTGCCAGCTCTGTTAGCACAGAGAAGAGCAGTACCGTGAGGTAGGTCACTCGCAAATCAGTTAGTGACATTTAATACTCCCAGCGAGAGTTTCCCGGTTGAACTGCAGCCAAACAACTCGGAGCCGATGTGTTATGAGATAACATTTGGTAAATCAATTACAAGGAAATCCATACGAGTGATCAAAATGAAACTTTGTTCCCACCTTCATGAAAAGGCAGGTGTAACGCCTCCGGTTCTTATTTTCTGGGTGGCCTGAGCTGTGCAAGGGTTCTGGTTCTCTCTTCCGGGAGAGGAACTGGACACTCTTCAAGGACCTGAGGCGTCTGTTGGCCATTCACCTGCTCATCCCTCACCTGCTTTCTCAGCTGCACTCTTACGCGTGCATCCCTCCCCTGCTCGTGCCTCACGTGCTCTCCTCCCCGCCCCCGCCCCCCGCCCCCGGCAGACTCCGGGTCCCCCGATGTGGCGCCTGCACCTTCATCTGCTGAGAGGTCACGGGCGGACACCTAGCGGAGCATCCCGAGCGAGCATCCCGGGCCCGCGCGGTGCTCGCAGAGCGCTGCGGTCCGCCCACTTTCACCGCGCTCACCCTCCCGCCCCCTGCGGGTTCTCATCTTTTACCGGGCGCCCCGAGTCCCCAGGAGTTTCCCGTCCTCACCTACACTCGGGGAGACCCGGCGAGAATCCGGCAAAGCAGACCGTCACCGCTCCGTCCCGCCCCGCCCCGCGAATGGCTCGGAAGGCTGGAGAATCGTGAGAGAGAAGCGGCGTGTCAGACCTTTTAAAGGAGGGAACCGGCCAGAAAGGAGAACCTGGATGACCGCAAACACGCCTCCCCGGACCTGTCACCCTCAGGCCCGCCCAGGGGTCACTGCCGGGCCTCGACCCCACCCGAGGGTTCAGCTGACAGCACACAGGGCCTGCTCGCCCAGACACACCCCGTCAGCACCCTCTCTGGCTCTCTTACTCTCTGCCCTGAACCCGGAAAAGTTGCTCGGAGCCTCCACCTTCTATTTCCTATGGTTTGGGGATAGCCGACAATTTTAAGTTATCCACATCCATCCCAGTGGCTCCACAGCCTCCCTTACTATGCAGGATATCAATCGTACCCAAGCTGCGATGTCACCTGTTCCATAGGCAAAGAAACGGTCTGGAAGCGGCTGCATGGCTACCCAAGGTCACCTCTAGTGCCGGGGCCCAGGTCCATCTATCTGGAAATAGTGAAGGAATGTGCCAGAGATGAATGACCGCGTGGGTGCGGTCAAGAATGCGGAGCTAGGCTGTTGTCAACTGTCTTTTCAGTATCTCGGGCCAGTTTCTATTTTGTTTTGATTTTTTTTTTTCTCCTTCCCCTCCGGGTCCTTCCCGATCCAGGGATATCCTCCATAGTTGAAGGAAGGCCAGGGGAACGCTTGCCCAGTAGGGGAAGTGACTCATTCAGTCAGTCACAGTTATCTGGCAGAAGGCACCTCTGCCCTGCCCAGCATGGTGACTCCCCACCCCCAGCTGCCACCCGGGCCTGCCAGTCCTCTCTTACAATTCCCAGCTTGGCTTCCCCAGCTAGCTGGCACTCTAGTGAGAGGACAAAAAGCTTTGAGAATTGGAGGGAGTGGGGGAGCGAATTCAGTCCAGCACAACCACTGTCTGCCTCTCAGAAGGACCTAGGTTCCTGAGAACAGACAGTAGCAGAATTGCTTATGATCCTGCCCCTGGGAAGACTAAGGTCTCTCCCATCCATTTCTAAGAATCTACAAGTGAAGCCCGACTCAAAGTACCAAAAACCAACTTCTGAGTCACGAAACTCTGCAAATGACTGAGCCTGCACACAAAATTGTATTCGCCATGTTCCGTGCCACTCTGAAACCTGTGTCAGGGAGCAAAACCAGGGCCACCTCTGCTGATCTGTGTGAGGCAGAAAACCCAGGGCCTTGGCGAATCTCCCTTAAGCATTGACGTAAGCAAAAGAGGGGGCCCATCCAAGGCCAGGCAGCACCAGAGAATGTTACTGCCCAGTAACAAAACCTGAGAGTAACTTCCAACTACATAACAGCAACCAGGGTGTGCCACCCCCCCACACACACACACACTGTAAAGATGGTGTGAGAACGGCCTGAACCTCAGAGCCAGAGGAGGAACTTTCTCCCAGGGAATGACTGTGATCCGTCCCACCACTAAATCTACATATGCACATTTACAGGCTTTTGTGTCCAATTTCCTGTTCATTGTAATTCTAGGGCTTTCTTCCCTTCCCCCCCCCCCCCCGCCATCTGGCTCAGGTTCAAAGGTTCAAATACAAATAAAAACATTTCCTTTTTTTTTTTTTAACAAATGTCTGTCTCCCTGCTTATCGCTAAGTGGATCACAGCAAACTGGAGATTCTGGTTACGCTGTCTGTATCCAGCAGCTGTAGGGCTTTCTGAAGCACTGTTCTGGGACAGAACCTCCCCTCTTGTGAGCTAGTTTCTAGAATACCCTTCATTGAGGGCAGACATTTTCAAACAGTCAGCCGGCCATATTAGTGGAGCCACAGTGGGTAACAGTCAGCATTTTTATTGTTAGCGGGAACGAAAGGAAAAGCTCCCTCTGCTTTTCGTGCTGAAGGGCACGTACTTCTGGTCCCACGAAGTAACAGGCTGCCCAGGGCTGAAGGTAAGACTACCATCTTACTCAGAGTCACACCCCGCCCCCTCCCGCAGCTCAGAGAGGCTCAGAGTTCAAGCCCCGGGACTTTTTGCCAGCCTCGCATGAAATTCCAATGCCTCCTGCCCTCCCGATGTCTGTCCCTTTGATGGGATCCAAACCTGGGAAGGTGGGGCCTGTTCAGGTGTCGAGTGTTCAAAGAAACAGGGATGCTGGAATCTCCGGGGCAATTTTGTGAATTGTGCTCAGAAATGGGACGGATGCTGATGGCTGCCTTGCACCTCTGGTTATTGACTTTTGGGAAACCTGACTGGCAAGATGTGGAATTTCTCAGGTACGATGTCTGGAAGATTCACCCAGCCTTGGAGCACTTGGTGAAGCTGCACCCTGAGAGTTCAGTGAGTTGTTGGAACGCTGCTTGCTGACTGCTACGAGGGAACAAAGTTGCTGTGCAAGGTTGTGGGCCGAGATGCAATTGTCTGTGTAAGTTGTCACCAGTGGGTCCTTAGAAGATTATATCCTCTCTGACTCTTAATCGCAGTTGAGAATTCAGAGCCCAGAAGACACAAGAGGTAGAGGAAGGAGGATCTCTGTGAGTCGGAGGCCAGCCTGGTCTAAGCTAGTTGCAAGACCCCCAAAGCTATACAGAGAAACCCTGTCTCAAAAAGCAAACCAAGAACAACAAAAGAAAAATACAAGTGAGTTAGTTTCACACTGGCTTTTATCATAGATAATTTTCAAAGGTTTGTTGATATAAACTGAGGGATTGGTTATCCTGTCCTATTCGACTCAGAAATCAGTTTAGGAAAGGAATTTGGTGTGCAAACACAGGCTACCTAAGGCTGGGTCAGGCTCCCCGGCACGCCTCCTTCTGACCATAGTCATTATCTAAACCTCCAAGACTGCCTAGTGCTTCTCGGAGGTCTTTCTGCCTAAGCACTGTCTATTCATAAAGGTCACCTCTAACAGCCTTCCCAGCCTGGGTTGAGCCTGCTGCCTCACCCTTGCAATTCAAACTCTTAGCCTCCCTTTGAGTTGTTGATTAAGAAACCTGTGGGTTTGTAATGAACAATGCAGTGGGAGCCTTTGTGCCCCCCACGCACGCCCATTTCTCCCGATGACGACATCTCATAAACCATAGGAGGCTGTCACAGGACAGTAACATTATGCAAGTTGGCTGAGTTTTTCCTAGACTCAGTTTTGGATTTCATGCTATACAGTTTTGTCACATGCGGGATGCCACCAGTCAACACACTAAAAAGGTTCCCTCATGCCATTTTTCTTACCCATATACATTTCCCTCCAATTCGTCCTCCACCCACCACAGGCCTGAGTCCACTCCCCTGTGCTCCGTTGTTACAGACTTTTGGTCATTGCAAAAAAGAAAGCGTTGTATTCTCAGAAACTGTATCTAACTCGTCAGAAGGCACATTTTTCACCTGACTTAATTCACCAGAGCTTGTCTGCACAAATGAGCTCACAGGAAGTCCAAACTTCTTCCTTTCAGAGCGGTATTTCACAGTGCAAGGAAGCACAGCAGTTGAGCCAGTTCCTTCCTGTTAAAGGCAAGCTGAGCAGTTTTAGAACATTAAGGGGAAAACTGGCAAACACACCCCCACCAAGGCAGAGCAGGGGGATCTCAGTGAGTTCAAGACCAGCCTGGTCTACATGGACAGTGAGTTCCAGGACAACCAGGGCTACATAGATAGACCCTGTCTCAAAAAAAGCAAACAAGAAAGAATGATGCTGGCGTAACACTCCGCCACCTCCCTGTTTTGTGTCTGAAAATGAGCTCTCCTTGCTCTGGAATAAGTGGGAATGTGGTGGCTGCCTCTTACAGTAAGTGCACACACAGTCCGACAGGACTTTTTCTAGCTGTTTCATCCCCACGAACAACACCTGAACCATCCAGTTTCTCATGTCTCAGCAGCATTCCACGTTATCGTTCCCATCTTATCCAGTTAGATGGGTGTGTCAGGTCTTCTGGTTTCAAACTGCAGGGACAGATGCTAGGCCTCTGCTGATGGCCTTGGTGACATCTTGCTTTTCCTCCCCAGTGAAATATATTTTCTAATCATATGTTTTAGGCTATTTTTCTTTATTCTTGTCCAGATTTGAGAGTTCATTCTATATCCTAGTCGTGAGTTCTGTATTTGATCTACTGCCTGTAAATGCTTCCTCCCAGTTTATTGTTGTATCCTCTTTTAACAAACTTTCACAAAGCAAAACATTTTGTCGGTGTTTGAGTTCATTTTATATAGTCTAGTTATGAATGATACTTTGTTATCAAATCTAAGAATGCTTCTCCTGTCTCTGACAATTTTGTCCCATATATTTTTCTGAAACGTTACTATCTGTATAATTTACATTTAAGTTCATGGTCCATTTTTTGGTGTGAGGACTACATGAAAATTGCAATCTTTCTGTCTGTTTTGCCAGTGGCAACCCAGCACCATTTGCTGGAAAGGCTATCCCTTCCTTATTGGATTGCTTGGCATCTAACTGGGAATTTAGTTAAGCACAGTTTCTTGAAGCTGTCGGGGGAGGGGATCTGTCGATCTTCCCATTCTCAATACTTTATCCTTCCCACTGCTCTCTCTACTAGACCTTAATATTGGGGAGTGGTTTTCCTAGCTGGCTCTTCCTTAGAGTTTGGGGGTTTTATCTATTCTAGTATATGAGCCATGTAAATTTTACAATGACCTTATCTATTTGTTGAAGCCTATACTAGGGTTTTGACAGGGACTGTGTCAATCTTAGGTCACTTTGAGTGGTACCCAAGACCTTTGGTTTATTGAGTTCTCTTTATGAGCAGATCCAATCGTAATCTCTGGGAGTTGCAGTGGGCCAGATCAAGCAGAATTAAAAAAGTAAAACTGTCCAGATCAAGCCAAATTGAAAAAAAAAGTATAACGACTTGTTTATTTGAGCAGAACAACTCCCAGAGATTGCAACTCCAGTCTCAGAGATAGAGGCTGGAGAAGCTGCACCCGCCCCCTCGCTGCACCCCCCCTCCCCTGGAACTAAAGCAGGGAGACTTCATAAGGGTGATGACGTGTCCTCCACAAGCTGGGTTTGTGCCCAAGTATGGTCAAAGGCTAGGTAGGTGCTTAGGTGGGAAGAAATTGCAATAGTCACAAGAATGTGGAACTGGGCTTTTTGACCCCTTTCCTTTGTTCGGAGACTGTGAGTGGGTGGGGCTTGAGGGGGGGTGAGGAAGGGAGGGAGGGGCCTTTCAGATTGTGCAAGCTGGAGGTTCCAACTGAACAGTAAGTATGAAGTATGGTCTTGTTTTTTAAAGGTATTCATTCTTACATTGGCTACGTGTATCTTCTTTCTCTTCATTCTTAACCAGTCTTGCTAAATGATTATTTTATTAAATTTTATTTGGCTGTGAGTGTTATACTCAAGTTTTAAGTGGGGTACCTTGGGTGGAGGACCATGGCGGATTCCATGGCAGGTGAGGGTGACCGAGGCAGAGGGACGAACAGGCCAGGCAGACAGAGCTTAAGAGAGAAGTTTTATTAGAAGTAGGAGGGAGGGAGGGATAAGGAAAGAGAAGAGAGGTAAAGAGACACGGAGAGAGGACGGAAGAGAAGAGGGAGACAGGAAAAGTCCTGTCTGCCCCAGGGGGGTGGAGGAAGAAGAGAGTGGAAAAAGCAGAAAGAGAAGAGCGGGCAGAGAGAACATCCGGGAAGAGAGTAGAAAGCATAACTCGACAAGGG